TCCAGATGACACTGGAAGCCGCTAAAGATGAAGCTGATGTCGCTTCAGGTACCTTTCTCGTAAACAAATTGCCTGCCCAAATTTTATTTGATTCTGGAGCCAATTACTCCTTTATATCGCATGAATTTGGTAGAAAACTAGCTTTGCCTGTTGATAGACTAGATAATGCTTTATTAGTCGAAGTTGCTAGAGGCAAGTTTGTACCTGTTAGCCATCGTATGAAAAACATCTTAATCGATCTGAATGGGAATAAGTTCCACGAGGAATTATTGCCCATCGAACTTAACGGTTTCGACATTGTTTTGGGAATGGATTGGCTTAGCGCCAATGGCGCTGAGATTTTGTGCAAGAAGAAGATAGTGAAAGTGAATCCGCCTGGGAAGGAATCGTTTATGGTGTATGGGGACAAACACAGAGTGAATTTTGGAATCATTTCCCTAATGAAAGCTAGAAAGTGTTTGACCAAGGGATGTACATTATATTTTGCATTCGTGATTGATGCTAAGAAGGAAAAGAAGGTGATGCAGAGTATTCCAGTGGTGTGTGATTATCCGGAAGTATTTCCCGAAGATCTTCCTGGATTACCACCTGATAGACAAGTGGAGTTCAGAATTGACTTGTTACCAGGAACAACGCCAATTGCAAAAGCACCTTATTGATTAGCACTGACGGAGATGAAGGAATTGATAATGCAACTTCAAGAGTTATTGGAAAAAGGTTTCATTAGACCTAGTTCATCACCCTGGGGAGCTCCGATGTTATTTGTGAAGAAGAAAGATGGAAGTATGAGAATGTGCATTGATTACCGAGATCTGAATAAGGCAACAATAAAGAATAGATATCCGTTGCCGAGGATTGATGACCTATTCGATCAACTACAAGGTTCGAGTTATTTTTCAAAGATCGACCTAAGGTCAGGATATCATCAGTTGAAAGTAAGGGAGCAGGATATCGAGAAGACTGCGTTCAGAACCCGATATGGACACTACGAGTTTTTGGTTATGTCGTTTGGACTAACCGATGCTCCAGCAGCATTCATAGATTTAATGAACATAGTTTGTAATCCGTTCCTTGATAAATATGTGATAGTGTTCATAGATGACATTCTGATTTACTCGAAAAGCCAGGAGGAGCATGGCAGACACTTGCAAGAAGTGTTAGAAGTCTTGAAGAAGGAGAAGTTGTATGCTAAGTTCTCCAAATGTGATTTTTGGATTCGTGAAGTCCAATTCTTGGGTCACGTGGTCAACCAAGAAAGAATAATGGTTGATCCAGCGAAGATCGAAGCTGTGATGAAGTGGGAACAACCGAAAAGTCCCACGGAGATTTGAAGCTTTTTGGGATTAGCCGGATATTACCGAAGGTTTATCCAAGGCTTTTCTTCGATCGCTACTCCGTTGACAACTTTGACCCACAAAGGAGCTACTTATGCTTGGAGTGAGAAGCATAAAGAAGCATTCGAGAAGCTAAAGAAGAAACTATGCGAGGCACCGATACTTTCTCTACCCGATGGAGTTGAAGAGTTCGTTGTTTATAGCGATGCGTCTGGGGTTGGATTGGGTTGTGTTTTGACCCAAAGAGAAAAGGTGATAGCATATGCGTCTCGTTAGCTGAAAGAGCATGAAAAGAACTACCTGACTCATGATTTGGAGTTGGCAGCGGTAGTTTTCGCTCTGAAGATATGGAGGCATTACCTCTATGGCACGAAGTGCAAAATTTTCACTGATCATAAGAGTCTCCAATATCTCTTCAATCAGAAAGAGTTAAATATGAGGCAACGACGCTGGCTAGAGTTACTCAAGGACTACCACTGTGAGATACTTTACTATCCCCGTAAAGCTAATGTTGTTGCTGATGCTCTCAGTCGGAAAGTCAATGTTGAGAGAAAAAGGCCAAGAGCGTTGAGAATTGAAGTTGTCTCGACTATTTTGGAAAGTATAAAGAAAGCTCAAAGTGAATCTTCTGAGAAGAATGACCGAAAGGAGGAACGTTTGGGCAAAACGTTGGTGTTCGGTGTAAACAGTCATGGACTGAAGGTGTTCCAAGATCGGATTTGGATACCTAAGACAGGAGGAATCAGAGATCTTCTGATGGAAGAAGCTCACAAGACCATGTACTCGATTCATCCCGATAGCACTAAAATTTATAGGGACCTGAAACCCTACTACTGGTGGCCGACGATGAAGCTTGACATCGCGAAGTATGTGGCGGAGTGTGTGACTTGTGCGAGAGTCAAGACACAACATCAGAAACCGTACGGGAGTTTAGAACCATTGCGTGTGCCTATGGGTAAGTGGGAAGACATTGCTATGGATTTTGTCACTAAACTACCCAGAACAAAGAATGGTCACGACATGATTTGGGTGGTCGTTGATCGATTCACTAAGAGTGCGCATTTCATAGCAGCCAAGGAGAAATGGTCTATGGAGAAGCTTGAAAATTCTTACGTGAAGGAAATTGTGAGGCTTCAAGGTGTTCCGTTAACAATTGTATCGGATCGTGATAGCCGTTTCACCTCAAGATTTTGGAAAAGTCTACAAGAGGAAATGGGTACCAAGTTATGTTTAAGTACAGCTTACCATTCGCAAACTGATGGTCAGAGTGAAAGAACGATACAAACGCTTGAAGATATGCTGAGAGCATGTACCTTGGAATTCCTAGGTAACTGGGATAAACATTTACCGTTGGTAGAATTTTCCTACAATAATAGTTTCTACTCGAGCATTAAGATGGCACCTTACCAAGCTTTGTATGGACAAAAGTGTCGTACGCCGTCTTGTTGGCTTGAGGTTAGGGAAAAGCAGTTTATGGGACCGGAGATGGTTCATCAAACTGCTGAAAAGTTGAAAATAATTAGGG